GCCGTACATCGGTTGTTGCTGATATTGTTGTTGTTGATGTTGCTGCAGATGAGAATTGTTAGCAGCTGGAGACGTTGTTGGGTGTGATGGGCTCGTACCAGGAGACCCGTTGTCGGGTCGTGGAGAGCCAGACATAGTTGCAGAGTATGTAGTTGGAAGCTGGTAGAATCCTAAGAGGCTCACAATACCATGTTAGAATTTGAAATGACTGAACAGGAACGTGTACTTAGGATGGTAGCTTCCTGTTGCAATGGAAGTCTTTGTATGAATTAAAGCCAATGTAGGAGGCTTTGTCTGGGCTAATATGTAAAGCCCATGTAGTGACACGTTTCAGGATCAATGTCCCTGAAATCAGGTATATTATAAAATGACAAGAATACAGAATATATAGCTAGAGTAAAGTACCTATTCGCCTACTGTACTATGCTATTCACGCTATTCCTGTTCTGAAACGGTACGTGACTATTTTGTTAGAGACTAAGGACGGAGTCTATGAAGATTAGGAGCTGAAATATCTCAAAATCGTCAACTACAATTCTGGACAGAAAAGTCGTCGTCACAAGAAACGTCGTCAACGATTAACGCACTGTTAGAATTCTCTCAAACTCGAGTATGTTGTAGCCCTTGACTGTGGCTATCTTTTTCAATTTGAATAGTATCAAAATATGAAGTATAACTCGGATAGGTCAGCCGGTTAGGAGGGCGCACATCCCTCCTAGGACGGTCAGCCGGACGTGCGGCACCTTGTGGAGCATCTTGCTGCTGCTGCTGCTGCTGCTGCTCCTCCACCTCAGGTTCTCCCCCATCCTCAGTCACCCCAGAAATCTCCTCCTCTGAGACAGTGACCTGCACTTGCCTCGAAGGCCGCTGCACCTCATCGGCCTCAATGATCAGCGGTGTAGTAGGAAGCTTTTGCTGCTGCTGCTTCCACTCCTTGTAGTACAAGGACTCAAGGAACTTCACATCCCTTGACACAGTCAGCTGCTGCCTGGTCAAGTCCCATATCAACCAGCCCTTATGATCCTTAGCAAGCCCCAAGTGTACTCCCCATCTCCCACTAGCCTCCAACTTTCCCCTCTTCTCCTTAGGCACATGAAACACCACCATGCAGCCGTAGGCTCTCAGCATGTTGACTGCTGGTGCACTCCCATACCACTTGGTGTAGGGGACCCACTGCTTGTCCCCCACAGTCGCCAACACCCTGTTCTTCACAAGGGCGACCTGCCGCAGTGCAGTCACCCAAAACGGATCCGGCAGCCCTGCACGCCCAAGGAGAGTGCGAGCACCTTCCTGCAGGGTCCGGTTGAAGCGCTCAGCCACGCCATTCTGCTGAGGGTTGTAGGGCACCGTGAGCTGATGCTGGATCCCCTTCTTCTTCAGCACCGCCTCAAAATCAGCGCCAATGAATTCTCCCCCGTTGTCAGTGCGGATCACCTCTACCTTGTGTCCGCTCTCCCTTTGAGCTCTCGGCATCCACTCCTTAAGAACAGCCGCTGCCACTTCCCCCTTAGTATTGAGAGGGTACACCCACACGGCACGCGTGTGGTCATCCACAATGGTTAAGAAGTAGCGGCTGCCCGAGAGAGAAGGGGCCCTCGTAGGGCCCACCACATCCATGTGCACAAGTGCGAGCGGGGCCTTAGCTGGTCCCGTGCCGCTGCTGAACGGATACTTTGTGAACTTGGTCTCAAGGCATGTAGGGCAGCTCCCAATCTCCTTTGCTGCCCCCTTCACCTCCAACCCCTTCAAGCTCCCATCCTTCACTAACTTCTGCAGCATAGGAATGTTGATGTGACACAACCTCTCGTGCCACGTCTCCCAATCGGCATCACCATTCCCAGATGAAGCCTTTGCCCATGCAGCGGTTGCATCCACACCAGCAAGCACCTCACCATGTGGCTGCTGTGACTGCTGCACCTTATTGACTGCATCTAGGGCCCCATCGGTTGGTGCAGTCTCCTCTCCTCCCGCAGTTGTTTTAGCCGTTGCTGCAGCCGCTGCCGTTGCTGGTGGTTTCCCATTCCAAGGGATGATGGGCAGCTGCCACAGGTCCTTGATGCAGCTGCTCTTCTCCTCCAAATCCCACAGCAGCAACTTCCCAAGCTTTGCACGGCAGCTGGTTGGGCCGAAGGTCACTTCAGCCTTGCTCTTCTGCAGCCGGCGCACAGAAAGAAGGTTAGCGGACAAGCCTTCAACCAACAGCACATTCCCAAGCCCCACAAGCCCCCCATTGGCTCCCATTACCTTGGCATTCCCAACACCAATCACAGGGAGCAAAGCACCTGAAGCGGCAGCCACAAACTTAATCTTTCCGGGGGGCTTTACCTCGTCAAGCAAATCTGCCCGTGGGGTCACGTGACTTGTGCAACCTGAATCTATCACCCAGTGAGTGAGGGGGTGCATCACAACCTTCCCAACTGAGCCCACATCACTCTCACTCCCTTTCACATCCTCAACCATGAGGAACATCCCAGGATTGGCTTTTCCTTGTGCACCTGAACCTTGTGCACCTGAGCTTTGCACAGCGCCACCTCGTGCACGTTCACCACTTGGTGGCTTCATGCCTGGAGGCGCCCATCCCTCAGGCCGGCTGAAACACTTAAACCACGGGTGTTCAGCCTTCTTGCAGTACCAGCACGCTCCCTCCATTCGGGTACTCCCCTGCCACCAGAGCTCCCATGCCCCTCGTTATAGTCACCTCGGCCTCTCCCACTGCCAAAGCCTCTCCCATGGCCTCGGCCTCTCCCTCCCCCTCTTCCTCTGCTGCCTCTTGCAGCTCCATACCCCTCAGCAGTTTTGTTGGCAGCACCACCACCCGTGTGGCGCCTGCGAAAGTCCTCCTGCATAATCTGTTGCCGTAGCCACTCAGGTGTCCACTGGTCCTGCTGAGTGTTGAGGGTGGGGATGAGGTTGTCCCATGAGTTGTCGAGCACCGAGATAATCTTGGTGCACTGCTGCATCTGCGACACATTGCTGCCCGCCGCTGCCATCCTTGCATAGGTATCCTTGATCTTGTCAAGGACCGGCTTCACATCATCGCCCGGTCGCATGGAGAGGGCAGCCAGCTCCTTCTCCAACACAATCACCATCGGCAGCGTGTTGGGCTGAATCACGTCGCGCAGTAGCTTCCACGCCTTTGGTCCGGAATCATCCAACTCCACCAAATCCTTGATGTGTTGGAACATGTCGTTGTTGACCGATTGAAGGATTAGGTCGTACAGCACCGCGCTTTTCTCAATCCACCGATCGCGGGCGTCGCCTTCCTCCGGCATCTTCTCTTCTCCCATCGCAAGTTTCAGCAGCTTGTAGCGCTTAAATGCACTCCGCATCCGCCCGCTCCATTCCTCATAGTTGGAGCCATCCAATGCCTCGATCTTGGATGGTGGCGGCTCATTCCTCTTCTCAGCTGCATCTCCACTCCCTTGACTCATTTCCTCTGCTCCCAAGCACAGGTTCCAGCTCCCCCCTTGCTCCCAAGTCCCACTCAATTTCCACAAGTGTCGGCGCCAACGAAATTTCGGCAGAGTTTCGTGGCCCTTCACCAAAGTCAAACTCGAGTATGTTGTAGCCCTTGACTGTGGCTATCTTTCTCAATTTGAATAGTATCAAAATATGAAGTATAACTCGAGTTATGAACTTCGGCGCACTAGGGGGTATGCTGCCATAGAAAACGTAACTCAATCACAATTATCTCACAAGTTCACACAAGAAAGTTAGAGTAGCAATGGAATCAGGTAGGAGGGGATGAGGAGGACGAGAGGGAAGGTCCCAAGGGATCCCCAACCAAGGAAACCCCATAAGCACACCAAATCCCTTCCCTATAGGAACCCCACTTTTACTTTTGTCACTTTCCAACCCATGCCATCCACCTTGCCCAACTTGGCCACACTTGCCAACCTGGTTTGGCACCTCCCAACCACTTGGCAGCATCTACAGTGATGTTGACGAATTTCCCAACCCCCAAAAGACTATACTCCTTATGGAGTCAACACCACAACTTCCCATAGTCACCACAACCAAATATCAAAAGCATACGAACTTCCAACGTTCGTAACTTTCTTGTTCGTGCTCCGATTGAAGCGATACTTGGTTCGTCGGAAAGCGCTTGAGCAGAGGAGTCACTTCAGATATCTGCTCAAGCCAAATAACATTCACACACACTCAGAAAATCCAAACAACACCAAACACAAATTCTTGCACACGCTCACACCACGCATGCAACACACGAACATATGATGGGAGGCAGACAGACGTGAATGCAAATGATAGCATCACATAACATATTCGCGAGGCCTACAGCTACTTGCTGACGTCATCCTAGGGCGCGTAGCGCTTTGCTCACGTCAGACTATTGGTACTTTACTATTACGTGCGAAGTCTCGCACTGTACTAACTGTACTACACGAATTCCTTGAAGTGCTTAAGTCTCGATATTATCTCAACAGGACGCTGCTGCCATCCTTGTTTTTAGTTGTCTCAAAAACTCTCGGTCAATCGGCTTAAGATTTTACGGGAGTTAGTGTGTGTATCCTCCTTGGCTTTCAAGCAGGTGTTGGAAGCTGGTATCCTCTCCTACAAACTAGTATCCTCTCCCTGGCTTTCAGCAGACCCAGCCGAATCACCCCTGCATTCCATGTTCGACTTTTGAGGCGCCCCAACCCCAAATGTGTGTTCCACTCCGCGGCTTCCACCAAACCCATCCAGATAATTTCAGCTGTTAGCTTGAAGATTCATTAACGAGGCAATGCGAAGCACTGAGTTCAAACAAAGCATCTGCGCCAGATTTTGACAGCTCTGACCGTTCTATATTTGCCAGCACCGAAGCAAGGTTCGGCACCTCAGGGACATCTACCGTAGAGTTCACAGGCATGAAAGCTAAGGCCGTCGGCAACTCTGGCTATCTGATTCTGACAACAATGGTAGCGAGGATGAAGGAGAGGAGGCAGAAGGCGAGAAGGAGGGGGTTACGGTACCCTTTCACACCCCTGCGCCTCAACTCCTCACACCCCTTCACATGGCTTCGCCTGTCCTGGTGGTCTGATTCTGACAGCAATGGCAGCGAGGACGACAGAGAGGAGGCAGAACGCAAGGAGGAGGGAGTTTTTGACGGGCGTGGCGATGTATGGGCTGGCGAGGAAGTAGGCGGAGCAGGCCGCACTTCTCCACGCGATCCAATGCGCGTATGCTGCGTCCTGTGCGGGGTCAAGGCGCGGCAATGGGAAGGTTGAAAGGGGAAAAGGGTTTGAGAGAGAGGGCACACGAGGAAGCAGATGGAGACAGCAGGCAGCAGTGCTCTGAGTGATTCAATGCACGTACGCTGCATGAGAGGAAGTAAATGAGGGTTCAAGGGGGATTGTGGGGGGTGGGAGGGGTTGAGTGAGAGTGGGGGCTGAGAGGAAGTCTATGATGCAGTAGGCAGCACTGCTCTAGGCGATCCAACACGCGCACGGTGTGGTCATGGAGTGTTCAATGCGGTGCAGAGGGGAAAGAGATTGATAGATTTTGGATGGGGAAGCGAGAGGTGCGAGCATGGAAGGAGGATGAGAGGAGTGTGAGTGAGAGAGAGGGGAGGAGGAGGTATGTTGTGGGCTACGTTATGTGTGGCAACAGTGGGTCTCGACCAATGGCAGGCATCTTACCACGTCGGAAGGGACGAACCAAAGGCAGGAGCGCAGTGATTTGGGACTGAAATGCGGTGGCGCCGATTCCCCACAGCAGTGCACAGCTGAACACCAGCGCGAATGCTGCTGGCTGGGAGATGGGTCTGCAAGGAGGGTGGGGAGGGTGGATGGATGGAGGGATGAGGAGAGTGCAGAAACGGGCAGCATGAGATTCGGATTGAACGAGCAGTGCACAGCTGAACACCAGCGCGAATGCTGCTGGCTGGGAGATGGGTCTGCAAGGAGGGTGGGGAGGGACGATGGAGGGAGGAGCGGATTTGAGCAAAGGAGGTCTGACAAGCTGGCGTAAGAATGGAGAGGAACGGTACGACAAGCAAAGGTGGGTCAATGGTGAAGCAGAAAGGTAAGCTGCAGGCCCTGTTCTGACTGAACCACCCACCCACTTGCTACTGGGATTGGGAGGAGTAAAGCACACGCAATCACAAGTGTATCTGAATGTCAGAACGGGGGTATAAATCATAAATGTTGAACACCCACTTGCTGTGACACGCGACAGTTGGGAGTTCAAGCCACCAGCCACCCACCTGCCATCGACCCACCCACCTGCCATCAACCACCCACCTGCTCTGAAAGACCCATGTGAGCACGAGCACGGTTATCTGTGAGGCAGCACCCAACAGCAGCATGAGGCGAATCGATGAGAGCCCCTTGGCAAAGCGAACTGCGAAGAAACAACACTGGGGGGTTGGGAGAGTGGAATCGTGGCGTGAAGCAGAGCAGTGCAGGAAGATGAGCAGGAAAGAATTGAAGAGAACAAGAGGTGCTTTCTCTCTGCTTTCTCTTCCCCTCGATTCATGTTGTTGTTGTTGGTTGTATTTATTTATTCATTTATTTATCATTATTATTATTATTTACTATTTATTTGCTTTTTTAAAAGCCTTGATGATGACAAGTTTATTTAGATGTTCTTGATTGCAATAGCTTGAAACAGACTGCAAGAGCTTGAAATAAGCTTGCAGTAGCTCGTACTCGCTTCCACGTATTACGCTACAAAAAGTTTAGGTTAGCTTGCACCTGCTTGTAACAGCAAACATTTGACTGCATCAGCTGCAACAGCTTGCAGGAGCTTTGTTAAGCTTGCAGTAGCTTGTACTCGATTCTATACGGCATAATTAGCCTACAATACACCTTGCAACCTTGTGCAAGCGAGTCGAGTGTCTACAACAGTTGACTTTTGAGTCGACTCAAAAGTCACCTCGTCTTGAGTCGACTCAAAAGTCACCTCGCTTCGAGTCAACTCAGAAGTCACCTGCTTTGTGTCGACTCAAAAGTTCAGATTAGCTTGCAATGCACTCACGACAGCAATGGAGACTCCAAAGACCATCATGGCTCCGCCCATCCACTGCGCTCCCAGCAGCGGCTCCACCACATAGCGTGTGAAGTCAGCACTGCCATGTGGGGGATGGGAGGCAAGGGAGGCGTGGGAGGGGTGGGAAGGATGGGGAGGATGCGAGGATGGGAGATATGAGAGGGATGGGAGGGATGGGAGGAGGGATGGGACGGATGGGAGGGATGGGGGAGATGGGGAGGGATGGGAGGGTTGGGATGGGTGGATGAGAGGGATGGGGTGGACGGATGTTCAGAGGGATAGGATGCGGATGGGGTGGATGGGAGGGATGGGGCGCAATGGGGCGCAATGATTTCCAGTCAAAGAGCTATGTTGATGTTAATTTTGAGAATTCTCGAAAGTAACATGAGTCAAAGAGCAGCAGTCAAGCAACTACTTTTCATTCGATACTAGAACTAAAGGACTGCCGCTTCTATTCTTCTAACACTACATGTAGGAGCCTGCATCATACCTGATATAAGCAGACTGTAGTCCCGAGTAGAAGAGCAGCGGAATCAGCAGCAGCAGCTTTCGATCAAACAGCAGCTGCCATGCGTTCCTCCCCTCCCCCTCCTTGCTCCCCCAGCCCACCGTCACCATCATCCATTTAAACGTCACAGACCGAGTCAAAGTTGGCCGCCCGGTCGCCACAGAAGAGGGCAAAGTACGATGCCTCGAGAAGTTCGTCGAAGTGGACCGGGACATGGTTCGGGGGAGGGACGGGGCTCGGAACAAAGCTATGGTTCGGCCGGACTTGGAGTTGATGGACAGGCTCGACTTTAATCTGGTTAGTTTCGGAGAGGCAGGTGTTAGGTTGGAGTCGGAGGTCATTTGCCTTACAAGTCTGGGCCGGCGGGTGGAAGGAATGTGAGAAGAGTGTGTGGTAGAGGATTGGGATGTGCTGAGGGACCCGGTTTGCTGAGAGGTGTTGTACAGGACTCTCCTCTAATTTTCGGGAACTTGGATTTGTACTAATCACTAGAGCTCTGTCTTAGCTTTCCAACGAGCCGTCAATTGCGTCGATCGCCTAAATATCGAGCGAGTTATGGCCTCTAACGTGAAAGCTATGCTCTAGGTTGAAGGATAGGATGCTCTCTGGAATCTGTGTCGAGTTGAACCGTGTATAGGAAACTCTGATTTTCAGTATGAAACATGCAAACAAGGCGAGCATATTTATAGCTACTCAATACATCGAGTCGCGCATGTAACATCTAGTCACTACGAGATGTGTCACGAACATTCGTGTAACATTTCAAACGGGGTGAAATTCGGTACTCGATTTTCACCAAATGCTCCTTCAATCTCGATTGTTCCTGATGCTGCCATGTGGCACCGAATTGGTGGAGTCTTCCGAAGTCAAACTTCAACCCCACGCAAACCTGCAGTTCACTCGAAGGTGAACACCAAAAACATCACCGCTTGGTGGTTGGGGGCAAAACCGCCCCACGCAACTTCCAACACTCCCCCTTGCACCCAAGCTACTAGGTGCTCAAGCCAACATGCTCACAGCATGCACGGAACGAGTCCTTAGGGAGTGTTTTGGTGAGGAAATCCGCCGGTTGAGCTTTGGTGCTCACATAAGTGAGTTTGACCTCACCCTTCTCAACCGCCTCACGAATGAAGTGATGCCTCACTTCGATATGCTTGGTTCGCCCGTGAAGGACGGCGTTGTGAGAGAGGCTTATGGCGGCTTGGTTGTCACAAAAGAGAGGAGTTGGGTTCGGTTGAGGATCCCCAAGCTCCGCTAGAAGACGCCGTAACCATATTGCCTCCATGGCACCTTGAGTGAGGGCCATATACTCCGCTTCCGTTGAGCTTAGAGCCACGGTTGGTTGCTTCTTGCTTTGCCAACTCACGGCTGCCCCAAGAAAGGTAAAGACATACTCGGAGGTACTCTTGCGTGTGCTCGGATCTCCCGCGTAGTCCGAGTCGGCATAGCCTTTGAGTTCGATTGGGCCGGCTTCATACACGAGCCCCAAGTTAGGCGTGCCTTGGAGGTAGCGTAGAACGCGTCCTCCCGCGCGCACATGCTCGGTATGAGGGTTGCTCACGACTTGTCCAAGCACCCCGGCGGCGTATGCGAGGTTGGGACAAGTAGAAACGGCGGTATACATGAGCGATCCCACTAGCGAATGAAACCGCTTCCCTTCGGCTTCGTCGAACGTGGATTCTTCCTCTCCCATGAGGCAAGAAAATCCCGTAGCTAGTGGTGTTCCCACCGGTTTGCTATTGCCCATGCCAAATCTCTCCACTACCCCCTTCACATACTTCTCTTGGTGGAGGTGGATGGTCCCGTTGGCTCGGTCACGGTCGACGTGCATCCCAAGGTAGTACGTGACCGGCCCCAAGTACCTCATCGCAAACTCTGCCCCTAGCCGTTGCTTGACCTCCCGAATGAGGTCTTTGGAGTCGGAGAAGAGGAGTAGGTCATCGACGTAGAGTAAAAGCACCAATTGCTTCTCCCCCTCCTTCAACACGTACAAAGCGCTATCGCACTCGCTACGAGCGAAGCCGTGTTGAAGAAGAAAGTCGTCGATGTGCTTGTACCATCCGCGTGGACTTTGCTTCAAGCCGTAGAGGGTACGCTTGAGCTTCCATACCCTTCCGCTGTGAGAATAAATGAGAGGAATGAGTTGAACTAGGCAGCAGGTGGGTACAAGTATGAAACACAAAAGTGTTGTACCCTCTAAGAACTACCCCACTACAGCCTAAACAGACTATAGCATATATAAGTTTGACACACCCCCATAGGCAAAGTGGGGGAGAACAAGAGGTCACAAGACCAGTCAAGAGAGGCAAAGAAAGCTCAGGGTGGATCACAAAGTCACCACGAAGTCTGAGCACAAGAAAATGGCCACAAGGCCAGTTCACATGCAGAGTTATATAAAGGAGAACAAACAATACAGTGAACACAACCTAACAAGTGTAAGCATGCAGGTATATGTATAAAGAGTACAGTACAGGCAGAGTCAAGAAGAAAGCAAGTGAGGTACAGTAGGTACAAGGCCTAACACAGTACAGAAACGCTGATGATCACAAGGCTGAAGTGCCTTGGTGAAAACATCAGCAGTGTTGGCCTGAGAGGCCACGTAAGCAAGACGAAGCTGGCCACGCTGCTGCAACTCTCGAGTAAGGAAGTAGCGCAGAGCAATGTGCTTCGTTCTGTGCTCCAGTCTGTGCTCCTGACACAAGGCCAACATGGCCTTGTTGTCGACGTACAGAACTGGAGGAGAACGAGGCGTCTCTCCCAAGTCGGTCAGCAGGTAGGTGAGCCAGCGTAGCTCCTGTGCAGCCATGGCCCCAGCGTAGATCTCAGCCTCACAACTGGAGCTGAGAACAGAAGAAGAGCGGGTAGACCGCCAAGAGACAGAACCGGAGCCGAGATTGAAGGTGTAACCCTGTGACGACCGCTGCGTAGCCAAGTCGTCAACCCAGGAGGCCTCAGCGTGACCAGTGAGGACAACTCGAGCCCGTCCTCCAAGCACGAGCCCCATGCCCGATGTACTGCACAAGTATCGCAACACCCTCTTCGCAGCATCCCAGTGCACCTTTCGGTGCCTGCCGGGAGCCACGTAGCGAGCCAAAAGGCTGAGAGGGTATGCGAGGTCAGGTCGTGTGCAAGTCATCAGGTACATGAGGCAGCCCACAAGCTCTGGATACGGGCCACTCGGCTCTATGGACTCGTCCGAAGGTGGAGCTGAGAGCAAGTGACCGGTAGGCAGAGGAGTGGACTGTGGCGAGGAGTACGTGAAGCCGAAGCGCTGAAGAACCTCCTGCACCATGTGTGACTGAGTCAAGGTAATGGTGCGTTGTGCTCTGTCCCGGGTGATCCGCAAGCCAAGATAGCTTGTCAGCTCACCCAGGTCTGTGGACGTGTGTCTCTTCTGCAGCTCGGACTTCACGTGGGCGAGTGCCTCAGTGTCAGCAGTAGCAAAGACGAGGTCGTCTACGTACACGAGAACGTAGAACGGCGGCAGAGTGGTGTCAGTGCGTAAAAACAGAGAAGGGTCAGAAGTGGAAGGAGCAAAACCAAGAGCAGCAAGAGTCGTCCTGAGTGTGTCGTGCCACTCACGGGGTGCTTGACGGAGACCGTAGACTGGCCGCCTGAGGCCCCACTGGGTACCAGCTGGAAACGACCCAGTGAAGCCAGGTGGGCGGCCCAGCCAGATCTCCTCGTGCAGGCTGCCCTGTAGGAAGGCTATGCTGAAGTCAAGCGAGGGGAGCTCGTAGTCACGCTGAGCAGCTACATGCAGCAGTACCCGAAGAGTGGTCATCTTCAGGGTAGGGGAGAAGGTCTAGAAGAAGTCAACTCCCTGTCGCTGACTGAAGCCACGTGCAACGTAACGCGCCTTGAAGACAGGCGGAGAACCCGGCGGCCGCTTCACCCTGAAGATCCACATGCCACTGACGATGTTCGCCCAAGGCGGGGGAACCTCGTCGACGTAGGTGCCAGTGGACTTCCAAGAAGCCATCTCGGCGTCCATGGCTGCCTGCCACTGAGAGGAGTAGGGACCCTCTATCGCCTCTGCGTAAGAGCGCGGGGTTGGGATGTCTGGTGCATCCGGGTCTCCCTCAGGGGCAAACAGCATGGACACGAGATGAGGTACAGAAGCGTCAAAGCACTCAAAGTCCTCCTGTCTGTCCTCAAGAACGTCCGTGCCAAGAGCACACTCACCCCCGACGGACGGAGGACAGACAGACGCAGACGCAGACTCAGCAACAAGACTAGTGGCGTAGTCTAGGCGACAGACTGCAGCGAAGTCAACAAGCTCAGTAACAAGAGCAGACACAGCAGTGGACTCAAACAAAGGGTCAGTGACAGTAGTGGCCAGAAAACGCGCGACAGCTGGACTAGCAGCACGGAGGGAGTCAGACGCAGGGTCCGGACCGGCAGGAAGAGAGGACGCAGGAGGAGACGGTAGAGGGACACGCTGTGGAGCAGTGGAAGGACGCAGAGTCATAGAGTGAGTGCCAGGGACAGGAGGAGGACGCGGACGCGAAACACGACCAGCGCGAGCAGTGCGGACAGGTGACGCAGAACGAGACTCAGGCGACACAGAACGAGACTCAGGCTCACGACGCTCCGTAAGGCCTCTAGTCGGTCCAGAGTAGGGAGAAGGACCAGGCAGTGGAGAGGTCGGCTGTAACTGCGACAGGCGACTGGACAGGTGGTGGACTCAGGAAAGGAGGAGGAGGACCAGGAGAAGGCGGGGAGCCAAGAACCTGCTAAAGGAGCGGAACGTAGTACGGCCACGGCCGCGCAGCGACTCCAGAGACAGCAGAGACAGAACCGGTACTCTCAGCCCCAGGGTCTCCAGTCCCAGCAGCACCTCCAGTAGATCCAGCACCAGCGGCACCTCCAGCAGCGCCAGCACCAGCAGCACCTCCAGCAGCTCCAGCACCAGCAGCACCTCCAGTAGCTCCAGCACCAGCAGCACCTCCAGCAGCTCCAGCAGCAGCAGCACCTCCAGGAGCTCCAGCACCAGCAGCACCTCCAGCAGCACCAGCACCAGCAGTACCTCCATCAGCTCCAGCACCAGCAGTACCTCCAGCAGCTACAGCACCAGCAGCACCTCCAGCAGCACCAGCACCAGCAGCACCTCCAGAAGCTCCAGCAGCACCTCCAGCACTAGCAGCTCCACCAGCAGCAGCAGCACCTCGACAGCGCCGAGAGTACCACTCACGAAGCTGCTGTGGAGAGAGAG